ATTGGGGTAACTAGGGGATTATTAGGGGGTTCCATTTTTGGGATCCTTCAGGGGGTCTGGGTTTGAGCTGCAATCAATATGAGGGTTTTTCATAAGTACGGGTACCTTTCACATGGGGGTCATAAGGGTTATATAGGGTTTAGGGTTTGGGATTTAGGGTTTAGGGTTTCCCGACCTTAGGGATACTTTTCTAGGAGTCCCCATAATAAGGGTTATTATGTTTTGCGGTTTCCTTTTATTTGGGAAACCATCATACTTCCCAAATAATACTCGGACATGCGCTCCTTATCAAGGACAATGTTAGTCCCGTTCCTTATTAAGGACAATGTTAGGGACTATCATAAACTACAAGAGGTAGCTTCTCTTGGCATTATGTGTCTGAGTTCGGTCACAAAGCACAACAAGCCAACACTCCAGCCTGCAAAGTCGGTCCATCATTCACAGGTAGGTACAAACACTCTTAGATATGCGGAGTTTAGGAAGACTTGGGATCTATGATACGGGGTGGCAATGCAAGCGCCTCATCGGCCACCATGTTGCTTTGGAATTGGTAGAATGTCGGAATCTCAGCACCTTGACAGGGCTTTCTTTGGTGCTAAAGGCTATGGGGATTTGTGCTATAGTCTGAACTACTAATATCCCCCTTAGTAACTCCTGTACTACTCCCCCTATGTAGTCCCCCAATCCCCCTGAAGGAGTTTAGATTCATTTGGTTTTGAAAAGTGCAGCAAATCAGGAGTCATGCTGTTCGATCACGTTGCAAAACATGAGGTCCCAAAAGCTTACTGTTTGCTAGTACGGAATATGAGAATATAATCCCTATATCATCGCTACAGTACAGAATGTATTCCCTTGTTCCCTAGTAAGGACCCATAAGAAAAGTTGAGATGGCCTTCGAGGTACTTCTCTGGCGTTGGGTAGTCCTCATGCTTCCAACTCAAGAGAAGCGGCAACTGTACAACCTCAAACGTTGTCACGCCAGGACGTGAAGAGAGCCAACAGTACTGCTGTGCAGGCCATAGGGCTGATCAGTGCCTACATTTCCCCAGATATTCCTTCTGGGCCTTAGCAATAGCATATTTGCTAAAAATTCTGACAATAATGATAATAACAAAACGAAGAATCATAAAATAGTACAGATAAAATGATAGGGATAGCAGCAATAATCAGCAATAAGAACAGTAGTACTAATAATAACAATCGAAACGTTGCAAGAAAAATCCATAACAATAATAAAAACGACAAGAACATCCAGTCCTCAGCCTTCACGTCGCGAAGCTTGGCCTTGCGCTTGTCCCCAGCCAGGTTCTGCAGGGCCTCATACGCAGAAGCCCAGACACCGCAACAAATTGGAATAGACGAAGCAAAGATCTGGAGCCGATCCTACACTCCTGGGAACTAACATGGAAACCCAAAAGGTGCCCTATAAAGACTACAGTCCTTCGAAAAGGGGACTATATGGGTTTCCATGTTAGTTTGGGGGAGTGTATTCCCTCAAGCCCTCATAATGTCGTTGCAGCCCATGGGGCCGTAGATCCAGAAATTCACATATCCAAAAGGCCACCAATACTTGGGTTTTGGCCCACACCGGCTTACACGATCACTCTAGCACGAGATTCTAAGACATCCCAACATACACCCCCCCAAACTAACATGGAAACCCATATAGCCCCCCTTTAAAAGGACTGTAGTCTTTATAGGGCCCCTTTTGGGTTTCCATGTTAGTTTCCAGGAGTGTACCATGTCAAGTCATCTTCAGCTCAAACTGCAATTCCTGAGGTGTCTGGACCCTTTATGGTTCTGTACTCCATGCTCTTCAGAAGCCTTGGAATGATGACTGGAAATATATAACCCCTATAACCCCTATATAACCCCTAGATCCCCTCTATAACCCCTATATCCCATATATGAACCCTATAACCCCTATGTATCCCCTATATAACCCCTATATAATCCCTTATATGGAAGCCCAAAGCCGGTGATACCGAGACCGCCACGGGTACCTCAGCCACCTGAGGCCTTGCGGCCTCTGAGGGCCAGAACACAGACTTGAGAGCGCCAAGCATGTCCTGGGAGAGGTCAGGTTTTGATGTAAGAGTTTAGGGTAGCTGATAATCAGATACTATAAGGGTTATAGGCTTATATAGGGGTAATATAGGGATTATATAAGGGATTATATAGGGAATTTATAGGGATTCTAAGAGTGCCCCAAGAAAGACCCCAATGTATAATAATCCTTTTCGGGACCGCACGACAGTGACTCCTAATTTCCGGAAGTATCCATGTTGCTTGCTTCGCTATCAGTTTTGGCATTTGGGGCTTCGCTCAAGGACAAAAAGAGACGCAGTCTTGGAATGTTTTTCAAAATCTCAAGCCCCACAAATCCCTATAATCGCCCTATATATCCCCCCTATAACTCCAACAAAGGGACCAGGCTCAGGAGCTGCGTCGGATTTTCTCCACTGAGGGGACAACATTCACAACACTGAGGAGGCGGCTTCACTTCAGGGCACAGCTGTTACAAAAAACGGGCGAACAGAGCCTTTTCCCTATCCTGATCCTTAGCCAAAGCCCAATCGCGGCATGCACACAGTTCCAAGCACAGATGTCGCTCTGATCTGTGAGTCATGAAAAAACATGAAATGCAAGGACCCAAAGGCAGAGGAAACTCAAGCTGTCACGGTAACGTCGGGAAGTTGCAGGCAAAGGAACTCCTCACAACTTTTCCGCGCAAATTTGCACGGAATCCACTGCCTGAAGAGCCATACATAGTGCATAGCCCCCCAAGCCAAGACAAACCTGATTAGTCCGTATCAAGGCAAACTGAGCCAGAAGTTGAAAAGTGGCTCCACCCAATGCAGACTGAAGCAAGGCTCTCCACACTTTGCAGTGCAACAGGGGCCTGTCAACACTGTTGTCGTCTTGAGGATGCTGAGGGTCAAAATATTTGGGCGACGTTACACCTCAGTGTAGTTCATGCTCAATGGCCCCGACTTGCTTTCATCCTGAATCCACATTTGTTGTGCTGTTGTGTGTCACTTGACCAGGCCCAAGTCAAGTGCGCCATCGGGTGCGCTTGTAGCGCCGCTCACGCCCGCGCAACGTTGTGGCCTTGTACAGTAAGACTCCGCAGCATCTCAAATTACGCCTGTGTCAACCGTCCAGCACCAATGCATCGAGACAGCTGTCACCAGCACCAGCATCGCGGCCCGAGTCATTGCTGTAGAATCAAGTGGATCAATCTGCTAGGACTGAAGCAATTTCAGGCTGGCTTGCTCGCAGCCCAAGAGCCTAACTGGCTGCAAGGTTTACAAACGAAACCCAGGAAACTACACGAAAAACAGATGCCAGTCTTTGGCCAGCTGCCAATCGAGCAATGCTCCGGCGTTGCCTGAACTGTCGCATGCAGCAGCAGCTGTGGAATGAGCGACCTTGCCAGGCACCAAGCTGGCATTAGAAACCCATTGGGGTTATATTGGGGATACATTGGGATAATGGAAAAGAAAATGGAAACTAGTATAGGATCACCTCAGGATTATAGGATTATATCACAAACTTTCTAGAACCTGTACATCATGACCATCGTGCTTGCAGTTTTAAGAAGCCACCCTCCCTGCAAAGCATGCGCCCGCCGGAAGATGCCCATGGCTTCGAGAGTTGATGGGGCATGTGAGTAAAGGTAGCCCCCGAATATGTCGAGGCACGGCGTCCAACGTGCAGCGGCTTCGACGCATCTCAGTCAGGAGTTCCAAAGCCACCTCCGGGTGGTCGCCGCACGCCTCAACGGAAACTTCACCAAGCTTAAGCGATTTGGAATCCTCCAAGCAGCAGCAAAACACAGGCAAATGCAAGCGGCTGTTGTGGGCGCTTACTTTTTGCCTGTCTGACAGCTGCCGCAACTTTTTGTGAATTGTGCGCTTGAATGAGTCAGGGCCATAAACGCAAGTGACAAAAAACAAACACTTCCAGACATGCTAGGCTTGAGAATTTAGGGAGATGCACGCAATCGGCCTGGACAATACCTCCTACACCCAGAGAAAATGACACCAAGGCTTCACGAGTGGTTGCACCGCTTTATACCGCTTTACGCTTCAGCCACCCGCCTAAACCCCAAAGCAGAACCAGCCTCCACACTCGCGGTGTACCTTGTCAAAATCCAGTGCTAAACAAAAGCCTTAAGCATCTTGACGTGGGAAGCTGTCATCAGTAACCACACATGTGATCATCCTACAGCATCTTCAACTTCCTCATCAACAAATCGTCTGTCCAGGTGCGTGATGGTGTTGGGGGTCAGGCCCTGACCCTGCAGGCCGCGCAGCAGCGCCAAGCCATGAGACCACTGGACCTGCATGCTTCGGCACAGGTGTTGGCTGGAAGGTCTTGCCGTGCGGTGAGCCTAGAGGCTTTGTTTCTTCGGGGCCCTAGAACCCGAAATAAGGGAATATTGACCCTTAATAGAATCCTTACTCACTCCCTACATGGTAGGTTCCCTTTTTCCCAAAGAGGAAACATAATCCCTAAAACATAACATATTCCCTTCTTCCTATCCCTACCTCACCCCCTGACAATCAGCCCAACCCCGGGGCCTTCCGAGCGCAGGCACTTATGGCACCGTCATAGGAGACGAGACCAGGCTTCACGAAGTCATCACCTTGGAAGACAGCAACACATTTGAGCCTTCAGAAGCAAGGTTTAGGGTTTGGGGTTTAGGGACCCAAATCCTCAGAATCTGTTGGTCAGACATCCCGAAACAGCGCGTCGAAGCAACCCCTACAAAGCTGAAATGACAAACATTAATTTAGGGATTTGGGCCGTTTTTTGGGTTTTTTTCGCATGGGTTTGACAAATATTCAGTCAAAGGGCACATGTCTACAAAGACCTGGAGGACGCCCCTCCACTCTTCTGCCTTCTCCCCAGCACTGATCGTGGCGCTGTAGCTCACCTAAGACTCAACATGATCTCAGCACTGCTATGACAAACAGATGCACATCACCCCTATGCAATGTCCAACGGATGGTCGACAAATAATCTCTAAGGGATTTGGAACCTCA